TAGACACTAAATTAGCTTTTCAAAAATATTTTTCACTCGCACCTCACCACACACTAGATCTAATGCATATGCAAATTTAGTTCACATCTATTGGATTAATCCGGTCATGCTAGAAAAATATGTTGACAGATTGACACTAATGGAATTTAAGGCGTGGCAAACAAAACAACCTGTAGCTATTATTAGGGAACCTTAGTATAGTCAACTTATTAGCTCATATATTTTTTTAAAAATAAAATAACCTAACATTTTTTGTATAGAAAAATGTGTAAGCACATAAATGATAGGAAATTGTGAGAGCTCAGTTCTTAATGAAGCAGAACTAGCTTATTATTCTCTTTCTTTTTTATTAAACAAAATATTCTATGAGCTAACTCTTTTAACGAGGTTCAAAGCTGTCCTTAGTACCTTATTACACGTCATCAATAGTATTAGTAGCGGTATGCTACTACATTCACAAGATACTGCCAAGCTGCAATCGATTACCACAGCCATCGTTAAGCCTCAGGATCAAAGATAATAATACATAATGAACTACTCCTACTACGTTTGGTTACACGTGGGTTATGGTGGATACAGCGACTAACTTCACTAGCAATATTTGCAAAGGGATTTGGCCTAACCAACAAAACTCCAGACAAGACCTGTTGACGAGTTAGCGTGTGGTACGTTAGTAGGACTTGGATAGAACGTGACTAAACCTGTGCTACCAAGACAATTGTACCATATTGGTCGTCCATCGCGACCGTACCGGCCCCTACTTGACCCGTCAGTCAAGTTCATTCTGTGGGAGATATCTATCAATCAACTGTAATGGCGATCTTTCCAGGTGTTTGTATTTTGTCGGCAATGGTCTCTTCTCTGGACCCTTCTGTCGATGCATGAAACAACCAGTCGATCCGTATGAGAAGAAAACAAAGCATGTAAGAACAATCAGTAATAACAATCTGAAGAGGTGTGCTCCTAGGTGTACGTAGCAGTAATAACAATCAGTAATGCAGTAAGCAGTAGGCTGCCAGTTTTTCCACAGAACAACAGAGCACAAGAGCATATGATTGCCAACAGAAAGGTAGCAATTTTGGCACAGAATAATTAACGAGGAACCCAAGGATTTGCTGCCCATTTTTTCCATAGAACAGACAAGAGCAATAATTGTCAACAATAGTCAATAAGCTTACCCTCCCCTCCATGAAACGGCCCAGCGTTCCAATGAAAGCTGAGTTAGTCACATTAGAGCAAAATCGAGTCGACGTTAAGCCTGGATTTCATGTCAGTTGCTTACTTTGTGTAGTCACTAGATAGCATACAAATTTGTGTGTTTGGAGTGCCCAAATTTTACAGGAAACACTTCAATCCCTATAGGAATAAGGGAAATCCTAGCGTTCCAGATAGGCGGACATGTTATATCTGGTTACATTCATGAATGAGATCTTGCTTGGTATTGCTTTGCTTCACTGGTGGATTAGTTTTTTTGGTTTCGGCTCTTCGAGCAGCTCTATTGCTAGAGTTGAAGGTATTCTAGTGAAAGTGTCAAACATTTGGTAAAACAGTTCCTTAGAGTAGATAAAAAAATGAAATGTCCATAATGGTTTTTTTTTACTTTTTTTTTATTTTCTTCCTTTACTTTTTCTCTTATCTCCTATTTCTCCTTCCCTCCACTCTCTCTCTTCCTTATCTACTCACGCTGTCTACCTCTGGTCAACCGCCCCTCACCCCAACAACTCCACCCCGTCCGCCTCCGCCCTTGTGCCTCTATCTGTCCTGCCTCTGCCCTGGCGCCTCCGTCCACTCTGCTCCTCGCTCGCAGCAAGCAGGGGCATTTCAAGGAGGGCCCCCACACCCGGACTGGGCATTTTGAGAGAATTGATTTTTTTTGGCTTTCGTGGAGGCTTATGGCTTTAGAGAACACAAATCGTATGGATGAAGTGACGTGGAGCAAAGGCCCTCGACCCCAATTTGGTAGGCAGAGTTATGGAGCTACCCGCGGAATGGCTCAGGGAGCGCTACCAAACTAGGCCGAAGTCGGTATTGAGTGGCTATCTTTGAGGGTGGTACTTCCTTTTTAGGTTATTATTAGTGCACAGGCAGAGGCAGGCTTACCCCTACTCTAAGAAACATGACACATGCCTGCCGACTTGCCGATCGAGCTGAAACAAAAGCTTAAAGATTTGCCTAGTTGCTGGCCCCGTGATTATCTTGGTGCACATTCCGGCCGCAGGGCTCATCAGGGACGACGCAGAAACAGAAGGAGAGCTGCGTCATCAGTACGTCACCTGGGCCCATGGAAGGGTTAGGTCGCCCCAAGTGTAGCTCTGCTGCCACCAGCAGCACCAGGGCTGGGCTGCCCCAGCCAGTATCAAGTGGACCTATAGCCTAATCCTGCATGTTCTGCCGAAAAGGGGGACACGGCATGCATAAAATGAAACATCCTTCCTCCCTAAAAGGAGAGGGCAGGGCATCATTGTGCATGGGCTTGAGCACCATGAATGAAATGACTGAATGATTGCATGGCATCCTTCCTCTTCTTTTATTTATTAGACTCCACGACGACAGAGATCGAGCTGCTGCAGGTTGTTTTTTCTATGGCATCCTATCGCCTCGTCCGCTTCTCTTATAATCCGTCTTTTTCAGCTTGTTTTTTCAGCCGGAACAGTGTTTTTCTCTCAAGATAAATTAGCTGGAACAGTGTTTCGGCTTGTTTTTTCAGTGAAGCGAACGGGGCAATTAATTACTGGAAGATTCTGACGATCAGGAGGAGGATTATGATTATCCCTGCAATTAATTAAGCTGCACCTGCACCAAGTTTATTAGCAGCAGCATCTATCTTACCAACTGTTAGGGAGCACAGCACAGCACACACTACTGGTCAGTATATATATCATTGATCCATTAAAGCAAAGAGGGGTTGAAAAACTCAGTACAATATTGACAAGGGTGCTCGCTATCAGTGGAAAAGCCTTTTTCCGTGCAAACGATGTGTGTCCCTTACCCATTGGCCTGGCGCTTACTTAGCAAGGCGGTATTTGCCAAAAGATTTGGACAGGCCAGGCCAGGCCAGTGTAGGCATCGCCAGCAGCATCGCTGTCATAATGCATGCATGGTGGTAAATTTCTCTGCCATACCAACCTGTTTCAAACTGATCACTGGATCGAGGCATGGGATGCAAGGTAAACTTGAAAATGGTGATTGATGAGCCTCTTTTTGACGCGGCGGTTTTTGCGAAAATGGGTATATATAGAATGGATGGGTGAAAAGGGCACATGGAAATGGAAGTTGAGTGGCTTCATGCCCAAGTGATGCTCCCTCTGTACTTTCCCACAGCTCCACTGAACTCTCTGATACCTTTTTAGTTTGGTGGGTATGTTATGTGCGACAAGTGATAGTGTAGCAAAGCAATGGTCAAGAGGCATGCATGCTGGTTGTGACGCCTTCATGACATGAGGAGTACTGTTGCAGCACTAACAAGATCCACTATAGGTATAGGGGTAGCAGCATATGGTCCATTTGTGCTGTTAAAATCTGGTGCAGGCCATGTTAAAATCAAGCTGTTAAATTCTGGTGCAGGCCATGTTTTCTCGGTACATGATGTGTTAAAATCAAGCTGTTAAATTCTGGTGCAGGCCATATTAAAATCAAGCTGTTAAATTCTGGTGCAGGCCATGTTTTCTCGGTACATGATGAAGTGACAAGAAGTTAAGCCTAGAGGCCCTAGACTATACCTTTCAGATGACTATACAGAGTACGAGTATAGCACTCAACTCCCTGGGTACAATACCGAAACCTCAACCTCAAGTCGATTGCTTCAGAGTTGCATGATGACGTTATTATACTGATGACTAGTTAGCTAGTTATCTTCAAATAAATGCTAAACTTATTGATGAAGATCGCCTCCTTTATTTTACACACATAAAAAGGCTGGCTAAATTATATCAAATAGATCGAGTACGGAACACCCAGAACAAAGTACATCATTTATAATAGGCCCAGATGAAGTTGACTGTTCAAGAATGTATGCATATCATAACTGCGTTGGAAAACAAGCTTTCATCAAGTTACTATTTGCCTTATAATTGATCGACATATATTTATCTACATGTTGTCCAGCACACATCAACGTTAACTGTAAGCAAGTCAAAGCTTCTGTCTAATCAGCACAATAATTTAATTGCAACATCTTTTTTTTCAGACAACTTGCGCGCGCAACCGAAACATGCCAAGCACTGATTCTGTCAGCTCACCTAGCTTTCCATTCACACATATCCTGATTTCAGATATGGACGAGCACAAGAAGAAACCAATCACCTGGTATTACGTTCAATCGCGGTTTCTTTGGCAGCCATGATGTTTTGAAGTTGCATCTAATTAAAGTAGAACAGAAGCAATGTGGTGGTATGATGATCCAAGAACCTGGAAATGAAATGAAACTGCAAATTAAATGTTCTATCTTGAGTAGTAGTAATATACACAGTATATGGTATCGAAGAGGAGTCAACGATAACACACGTTATAGAGAAGAGATGTTAATCCTCATTAAGTGCTCCCTTGACAGCATCACTGCTGAACAAGAACTGTTTCTCGCTCGTCTAATCATCTTTTACCAATAAAATAAAGAGAATACACACAGAGCATGATGATGCACCACCAAGCATGCATGCATACATCCATTGATGGCCTTCCATAGCACCGGATCGATCCTTCTCAATAGAACTGAACATCAAGGCAAGATATACACACTCCTCTCTCTTTATCCAACAGCATGCAGTCTTTGCAAGGAATGATTAAAAAAATGGAGAGGCCAAGAAACTAAAGCTGAACACTTGAGTTGCCAGGCTTCTGCCGCAGCCGCCTCAAAAACCTTTCGACGCTCCTTGAGATGCACGTCTCTAGCTCTCCCTCCCTATCTCCGAAACGCAAACGGCGCCTATAAGTAGTGCTAAGCCATCACACTAAGCAAAGCACTCCTGCATCCATTATTCCAGCTTCCTGCACCTCACCTCGCCATGGGGGGAGCGTCTAATTCTAACCTTCCTCCTGGCTTCCACTTCTTCCCATCAGACGAAGAGCTCGTCGACCATTTCCTCCGCCGCAAAGCCTCGCTCCTCCCATGCCAGCCAGACATCGTCCCTACAGTGTGTATGAATCACTACGATCCATGGGAACTGAATGGTATGTATATATCTGATTGATTCCAAGCTAATGATATATATTCATTCTTGTCAGCATCACTATTTGGTGTGTGTGTGTGTGTGTGAGGGTCCTGATTGCTGGCAACAAATCTTCTTCTTTTTTTCTAGGCAAAGCACTTGAGGCAGGTAACCAGTGGTACTTCTTCAGCCATGCGAAGCACAGCAGGGTCACACCAAACGGGTACTGGAGCTCTGTTTGTGCAGACGAAACGGTGAGCAGTGGTGGCTGTAGTGTCGGCGTGAAGAAGACACTCGTCTTCTCCACTGGAGAGCCCTCTGAGGGGACCAAGACCAACTGGATCATGCATGAGTATCACTTACTGGATGGCAGGAAGGGGATTAGCAGTAGCACTTCCTCAACTAATAGTTCAAGCAAGAAGTTGCATCATCCAAACACAGTAAGAGTTACATTCAGATATATGGTTGCTTACTTCATGTAGCACTATTGTATTTGTATTTTGTACATATATACTACATTGCATGATTATCTTGATAAGGGTAATTAATAAAATGCTTTCCTGATCATTGCAGGAGTGCAATAACTGGGTGATATGCCGAATGTTTGATTCGACGACCGGTGGATCGCAAGCAGCGAGCTGCCATGAGGAGGGCATGGAGCTTTCATGCCTAGATGAGGTGTTCCTATCCCTCGACGACTATGATGAAGTCAGTTTGTCAAATAATTAGAACCCTTATCACCATAACTGGTAGTAGTACTACTAGTAGGCCCCTACGATTCCAGACGATCAAATGATCATTCCATAGGTGTTTAGCCTTAAACACTGTGTCTAAACCACAGAGATGTAATTATTATTCTCCTCATCAAAGGAGTCGAGGCACATGCATGTAACAAACTTGAGTTAGCTTTATAGAAATATTGCATAGTGTGGATAATCCCCTATACTACAACTACAAGGTTGCTATGTTTGAGCATAAAAAGGTGATAACTATGTCTCCGAGTGTCTCTGTATGTATTAAAAAAATATTACACAGGTGGGTTGCCTTGCCTGTATGGGGAAGTGCTGCTGCATGAACTCATTGACTTGACAAACCAGTTACTGGATACACAGGTAGCCACTGCACTAACATTTGTAAATCTTTGTTGGTGGATTGCAGAGCATAGTGCACTGGCTTTAGATCAATAATATGGCTGTCACGCGTCCAGTTAGAAACTATGCTTAAAAAGGATACTAGATTACTAGGAGAAACCTAACCATGGAATGTGATTAACTTATTAATGTACTAGGAGAACTCGTTACTGCATATCCCTCCAGAACTTTAGCGCGCATGTCCTTGCTTTTCCTAGCTAAAAGACTTGACAATGATCTAGCATATGGAGTATAATGAACGAGAGAAACATCAATAAGCAAAGGAAATAATTAATCATAATTATGCCATGACAGTAGTGGTTAAATCTGTAATCATTTGAGTTGTACTCTTATGATTAATTTTATATATGTTGATGGAGAATACCTAGAGATAAAGTAAGTAGAGGAAAAAGTCTACATTACTCCCTCCAAGTATGCGCTCATATGGATAAGGTTTACGTGCGTGCGTTCATAGGGTGAGTGTGCATGCGTTGTGAGTGTCTATGTTATACTATGTAATCGCAAAAAAGTTTGACCTATGTCCAGATAAGCCCCTAAACAATTTGGTTCAATTTACTCCGTACAATTATTTCAGTTGGTTTAGTTTACCCCTTAATAGATTTGTTATTTTTGTTTCTCCACGTATAGTTGAGTTTTAATATCAAATTTTGTAAGGTGATAGAGGACACCATAAGTTAGGTTAGAAAATATCTTTTTTGCCACTGTTTTGATAGCTTAAGGAATTTAATAATAAAGTTAACACTAGAGATACAATATTGTACAAAACATAATTATGAAAATTTTATAATTTTTTTTCTAACACAAAATAAGATATCCTTTGTCACTAACAAAATTTGTACATAGAGAAACAAAAAAGAAATATCTTTTTAAGGTGTAAACTAGACCAACTGAAAATGTTGGAGGGAGTAAACTAAACCAGATGTCAGTTTAGAGGGTTATTTGGATATAGGCTAAAATCGAGGGGAGTTATATGGACTTTTTCCTAAAATAGAAGTGCACATTATTCTGAGACAAACGGAACATAAGCTACAAGTTTTAAAAAACTACTCCCTCCATTCCCCTCAATTCCAAATTGTAAGTCATTCTATCTTTTCTAGATGCACACTTTTTACAATGTATTTAGACGTAATGTGAATGACTTACCATTTGGAGCAGGAGTATTAATCAAATTTGATGTTGCAAGTCATCCTTAATATCGCTCTAACAAGTACAAGTGTTCTTAACCTCTTAATGAAACACGGGCTATGCCACATTCTCGAAAAAAAGAGTACAAGTGTTCTTAACAGTGACAGAGATACAAGACCAAAACACAAAAAAAGAACATAAATGCACTTAACAATTAGTAACAGCCAATAAAATGATTATAACTAGGCATGACCAAGGAACTAACGGTGTAATAATGGTAAAAAATAATATCAACTTACATTTTGCAGGTATTGCATTTTACCATTGTTGTAAATAGCCCTCTATAGTTTTTTTAAGGTTCTACCATTATAATATTAATTACCAATTATTTCAATGTTGACGTTAATGGCGCTTTATGTCGGGGACCAATACTAGGGTACCCGAAGAGGAGGAGCTAATGAGTATCAACATTGATTCATCCGAGCAGTTAAGAGCGCAACTACAGCTCCAACCGACCCCAAGCGCACAAGCTCCACCTCGCTCGACCTCTAGGGGCGGGCTCCGCCTCGCCCGACCCTGAGGCGACGGGCTACTCCGCCTCACCCGACCCTTGGGTTCGTGCTCCGCCTCGCCCGACCTCTGGGGGCGGGCTCCGCCTCGCCCGACCCCGAGGTCGCGGGCTCCATCTTCGCCCGACGGAGACCCATGCCACCGTCAACCATTCTAGGTCCAAGCGTATGGGCTTGGGTTAAAACTCTGACACCAAGGAAGAGACCGGCATGCCCTGATGTAACCCATGGCCACAACGGGCTATACCTAAGGATTCACATCAGGAACATCGTTGGGCGTACCGATATTGTTCTGCCTAACCCCCGTACGAACGCTGACAAGCGCGTCAGCTCACCACGACATCCGCTGTGACGGAATGGAACGCCATGACCGGCAGACGACGCCTGCGCATGGCGCTGGTGACGGACAGAACCGCGACGTGGTGCTGTCCTTGTTGACATCTACAGGGTTAGTGGGACCCGCATGAAGGATAAGAAGGATCCGACGATCCTAAAGGACTCCTTCTCTCTCCTTCTTCTCTTTTCCTCCGATGTAACCCATGCTTTCCCTTGGCCTATAAGAGGGAAAGCAGGGCGTCCCATGAAGGGGATCCGATCTGACCCCGAACCGATCAGATCTAGATACACACAAGAGCAGCAACCGAGCTCTCAGCACCCTTTCACTCCTTTCACTAGAGACTTGGGACATGTCCCTCTCTCACCTGTTTATAACCCCTACTACAAACTTTCAATGTTAGTAACACGAGCAGCAACAACGAACTAGACATAGGGACTTTCTGTCCGAACCAGTATAAACCTTGTGTCCTCTAAGCACACCATCCGAGCCAGACGCGTAATACTAGAAATTTACTCGTTGGTGGTAACTCGAAACACCGACAGTTGGCGCGCTAGGTAGAGGCCTTTTGCGTGTCTCGACATCCACTTTAGGTCTCGGATGGCCAGTCACAGCGTCAGATGGGTCCCGGGCATGCATGTGTGCTTTGAGGACCTAGACTTCATCGTCACAACGGAGGAAGAGTTGGCGCAGGCTCCCGCCATCGTCCAACCTCTCCACTCCGCCAACCTCGACACGATCGCCGAGGTGCTTGAGGAGCTATAGTTGCACGCACCGGAGGCCCGCACCCCCAGGAGCGACAAGCTCCTCGGCTTCGACTACAGGAGGTTAGAGCACCAGCTCGGCACCTTCCTAGGCCACCTCACCTTCTCGTTCGCTAACGTCATGGCACAGCTTGCCGGAGGAGAGCCGCTCTCTTCGAAATACCTCATTCGGAGCACCCCAACAGTGCTCCCATCCGATCTTCGCAACGCCGCAGAGACCGTTGGTCACCTTGTGGTGCAACACACTACTCCATCCCCCGCGAACTACAAGTTCATGGGGATGACCGAATATGTCACAGAATCTTTCCACGACCTCCTCGCAGGAGAATCGGAGTCACCCTCCAGCTCTGACTCTAGCAGGGGGAGCCATCATCCCTCTCATGAATGTTTTATGGCAGGTACCCCTGAGGGACACATCAAAAGCATCCACAAGGGAGAGGCTACCCCGATGAATGACTTCGACGATGAGGTTGAGAGGGATATAGGGGCCCCACCTCGCCTGTGGGTAGAGCAGCTAAAGGCCCGGCACCAAGAGCTCGAGGAAGCATGACTCTAGCTCGAGCAGGAACACGTGGAGCTCGAGTGAGAGATCGAGCGCCATGGAGACGGTGGGCGTGCGTGCGCCATGGCCCACGACGTGAACCAGAGGATCATCGAGGACAATGAAGCCCTCCCACACTTTACCCGGGTGAGCCAGAACATCGCTGCTATGGTGGCCTTGCTTCGGGGCTTCTAGGGCCCACAATGCCCGAGGATCATCGGGCCCATCACAAGATTCACACGCTACTTGAGCGTGCGGCGACGCAGCAGGTTGAGAGCTCGCTATCCCGATGATGCGAGCTCAACGCCTGACAGCGCACGCCCTCAGAACAACCCAACAAGGATGCACCAGTCCACCAAGCGCCACAAGGCGGCCGGGCCGTGCACTGCGGTCCTGGTGCATGAGTGTCTCAACCACCACCATGACGCGCGTGACACCCTCGATGCTCGTGGGCGTGCCCACGGCAAGGCGAGCGAGGGGGCTAGCCGCAGCTACCACTCTCGTCGTGGTGGATGCTATGACAGTGGCGAGGATCGAAGCCTGAGCCTCAACTTGCCGGGACCTTAGGCCTTCGGCCGACACATCCTCAACGCCGTGTTCCCACCACGGTACCGACCAGCGACCAACATCTCAAAATACTCTAGAGAAATGAACCCCGAACCACTTCGAGAAGCTACTCGAAGGACCATGTCCGAACCATGCCTTCTTCCCATTAAGCATCTATACAAGGACTACGGTCTCATGACACTGTTCTTGTCTGGAGGCTCCAACAAGGGGGAGCATAGGAAGGACCCCAAGCCATCCGTGGTTGACACCAAGGGGAAGGACGGTGGCTTTCCCACGCTGGATGGTTGCCTCATGATCTTCAGAGGGTCAGCGGCCTATGACTCCAAGCGCCGCCAGAAGCTCGCGCGTCGTGAGGTCTATAAGGCCGAGCCAGCCGCGCCTACCTTTCTTCGATGGTCAGAGTCCTCCATAACCTTTGATCGAACTAACCACCCGAATAGCGTGAAAGCATCTAGGCCCCTAGTTGGGTTTCGGTGATTAATGACAATACAAGATTACTATGACTAACGTGTGTTTTGCAGAGGCAATTAAGTTAGGTCATGGTAATGGAGATCGTTTGGGCAAACAAGGTGGTCATGCCCCTACGATGGAAATCATTTTGGTTTTCAAAGGATGGACGACAAGGTTAAGGATGAACTAGTTCTAAGTGTCATTTGAAGTTGGAGAGACACTTAGAGT